TACATACATACATACATACATACATACATACATACATACATACATACATACATACATACATACATACATACACACACAGACACACATACATACATACATACATACATACATACATACATACATACATACATACATACATACATACATACATACATACATACATACATACATACATACATACATACATACATACATACATACATACATACATACACACAGACACACATACATACATACATACATACATACATACATACATACATACATACATACATACATACATCATACATACATACATACATACATACATACATACATACATACATACATACATACATACATACACATACACACACACACACACACACACACATACATACATACATACATACATACATACATACATACATACATACATACATACATACATACATACATACATACATACATACATACATACATACATACATACATACATACATACATACCTACATACATACCTACATACATACATACATACATACATACATACATACATACATACATACATACATACATACATACATACATACATACATACATACATACATACTGGCAGACAGACAGACGGTTAGACAGAACGACAGAGAGAAAGAGCGTGTGTCAGTGCATATGTGTGAGCGCTCCAAGGTTTTCTTTCCGCAATATTGTTTCATGACGTATATGAAGCTTCATTCACTGTTCGACGTATGTCAGGTACATCACTGAGCGATATCAATCGCATTTGGGCCTCTTGTTTACTTACAATCTAATGCTTGATACTATTCTTTCTTTTAACCCTTTCGCTTTCTCCCAAACTGACTTCTTTTTGAAGATGCGCTTCGGATTGATACAGTTTATACAAAAAAGGTTTTAGCCTTACTTTAAGGAGATGAGAGTGTGCTCATGTACATATTCTGAAATTTTTTTCGGATGTTTTCATGTAAGGTATACAAATGCAATAATGTATTAATGAGAAAGAAATATGTATGACTGACTTAACGAATATATACAGTGTTCTCCTCTAATGCATACGTGTGTTTTCCTTTTCTACACAATATATAAGCTGTGAAATGCGAATAGTCTTCTAAGAAGAAGAGATTGCCACCTAATGCAGTAGGATTTTGTTCATAATTATATTTCATATTTTTCTCCACTTGTATTTCTTTGCACTGAACTTTCCATTGTGTCTAATTCGTAATAAATCGTATGCTAATGTAAAATATTTTCAACGTTCAATTCACCGTGAAGTTTTGTTTTTAGGTTATCCAACATTTCTTTGACACACTCGATTGTAAAACAAAGCAATGTGTAATGGATCACACATTTTACTTCCGGATCAATGTCTCATTACTTACTGTGCATTGGGACCTAAATACAAACAGAAAACCATACCATATTTCTTAAACTCTAAATAACTAACAAATATCTTTATAACTCTTGTATCACTTTCGAAATGAGAGGGGGAAAAAAAAAGAAATGCTATAAAATAGACTGGTACTAGATTTTTAGGTACTAGGCAGGAATAAATAACTGAATCCCCAATTCAGGAGACTCGTAGAGTCGAATAAGGTATAATACTTCACTAAAGGCCTGGATGGCGGCAATTTTGAATTCAATCAAGTTGCACTCAATAACATGATGCGTTCTAAAATTTTCACCTATGGAAAGGTTTTTGTGTTTGCGTTTGTACTTTTAGCATCAATTTGTATTTTTGAAAACGACATTCGCCAAACACGAAAAAATGCATACACAAATTTGGGAATCGCATGCAAAAGCTTCTTTTGCTATGAATTTCCTTTGACTTGGCAGGTTAGGTGAACGCTATTCTTGTTTTGTTCTATTATTGTCATCAACAACTATGTGTACTTTTGACAGCCCTACTGTATTTTATTTTTTATAATAAATTTGTAGACAAAGCAGATCGACGAGCAATAAATTTGTGCACAAAAACCGTACCTTCGTCCTTATGGTAGAACTTGATTGACAAGGTATGCTGACCCAGATGTTGCAAACGACCGCAGGTTGTCCATTTATAGCCTGATCGTATGCGTTTGTAATTAAGTAAGAAAAACAATAGTGCTCTTGCTTTGAGTTCTTAGAGTGGTCTCCCTTTAGTTTTCTTCAAATAAACTAGAAGACTTGTTAATTTTGGCAGAAATATATAATTTTGGTGATATTAATTTAAAACATTTCCTGCTGGATGACGGTTAAACTACATACAAAAATATGATTTTAAATTCCAGCTCTCCTTCTTTGACACCTGTTCAAATATATTTGACATAATGTAGCTATTCTCGATTAAAACAAATCCCATTTTCCAATTTTGATGGAACAAATTTTTGTAATGTTTCGTAATGATAGAATTCTGACAAATCATCAATTTTGTTTTTACAACAATGATCAAGTGTTAATGTTATCCTTTCTTCCATCTGCAATACTGTGTCATTAGAATCGGGGAGCAGTGGTGGCTCGGTTATTAGCGAAAGGGTGAGGGTTCGAATCCTACAATCACACCCTGGTTCAGTTACCGCTGTGTGTCCTTGAGCAAGGTACTTTACTCTAATCGCCTCGACACTAAAAAACCTCATATGTTTTACTGTGCTGTAAAATGCAAAACCAAACCAGATCTTTCCAATCATTAACGTAGATTTACATTTAAATATTGTATCTTGTTTAACTGTTTAAGCCATGGATGTAAAGAACTATCAATTGATGTAATTCTTTCCCATAATACTCTCTAATTCAGGTTATCTAATGGTTTATAGTTTTTCTTCTATCCTTTTACTTACATTGTTTTGTACATTTTGCTATATTTTATCAGGCAAGACAATAAATCACCTCATAAACCTATCCACATCACTGAAGGACCATTTGTTTGTTGTCTTGAATTCGTTTATGGCGTCTTAAGTTTTAGAAAATCTTTCATTTTCATTGTTTCACAGATGTAAACGTATTGTCGTCTTGTATTCTCTATATTTATAAAATTATTACCTTCCCAAATTTGACCTATATGTGTCACCCTATATAAATAAATATAAAAAATTATCTTCTTCTTTTTCTTCTTCTTCTTCTTCTTCTTCTTCTTCTTCTTCTTCTTCTTCTTCTTCTTCTTCTTCTTCTTATTATTATTATTATTATTATTATTATTATTATTATTATTATTATTATTATTATTATTATTATTATTATTATTATTATTATTGATATTATTATTGATATTATCAATATCATTATTATTACTAATATCATTATTATTCTTATCATCAGTAATAATGGCTGTAGTAGTAGAATCATCATCATCATCATCATCATCATCATCATCATCATCATCATCATCATCATCATCATCATCATCTTCTTCTTCATCAGTAAAATAATAATAATAATAATAATAATAATAATAATAATAATAATAATAATAATAATAATAATAATAATTATTATTATTATTATTATTATTATTATTATTATTATTATTGGTAGTAGTAGTAGTAGCAATAGTAGTAGTATTATAATAGTCATCATCATTGTTATTATAATTATCATTATTATCGTCATTAGTTGTAGCAGTAGTAACATAATCATCATCATTATTAGTAGCAGTATCATAATAATAACCATTATTATTACTATTATTATTATTATTATTATTATTATTATTATTATTATTATTATTATTATTATTATTATTATTATTATTATTATTATTATTATTATTTGATTCCCTTACATGCCTATTCCATCTTCTTCTTTTATAGAAATCTAACAAAGACAGTTATGTTCCCTTGTCAAACTGCCTAGCACAGTAACGGTATCCTATGATTTTACTGGATTGCCTCCTAAATTATTAATATAATTGTGTTCAGATTTGTCATTGATTATTAATATAGTGCGACATCTTTCTAATATATTTTCTGAGCTGACTTAAAACATAATACACATGGTCTCCTTCAATGTGTTTATTCCACTATGTTATTTACTTAATATAAAATAACTTACGCGCGAAACACGTTTTGTTTATATCGTGAAAATGATTTTTTTTGGGGGGGGGTATTTTCGTCTTTATTTACATTCAGTTTACGTGTGACTCCTTTTGAAAAAAACTTACTTTGATTATTAACGCGTATTGGAACAATATCACTGCTAAGAAAATGTTTAACAGGCACAAACTCGAGTGGGTTCCCGAGTGGTCGAGCTGTCTAAAGTGCTAACCGTTACGAATCACTGCCATCTCAACTCTTTCTGTGTTGGATCTAGTCCCAGGCTCGGCCAGTGCTGGCACGTGAGAAAGCTTGCCAGTAGCGTATCGTGGGTCGGTGGTTCTTTCCGGGATTTTTTCCGGGTCCTTCCTCCACCATTTATACTAGCCGCCATGTATAGCCAATCATGTGTTGAAAAATGGCGTCAAACGCTATGAAAACAACAATAAACTCAAGAAAACTTAAAAAATTTTGGACTATATTTTATGTTAGTGATTGGATCAAAAAAAGTATTTTACAATTTAGAGTTGATAAATCCACATGTAATGTCTGATTTAGCAGTTGCAAAATAGATTTGTTAAACACTTATAACTCAGAGTTGAAATAACAAGTGATATAGCAGCAGATCTATCTCAAGGTTTGTAAAACGATTAAGATGGTTGTGGAGGAAAAGGTCATGGTCGTCTGCAGCAGGTAACTAAAACAGAAGTAGGAGCTTGGTCGTCTTGTATAATTTTTATATTTTTTGTTTAACAAGATATTTCTGATCAGCATTAGCACTATTTGTGTTGATGTGTGTGTGCCTGATTTGGATTTTTAACGTAGCTTTAGCAATTTTTCAGTCATATCGCTACGATGTCTGCAGTGTGACAGTTTTATAGTGATGTTTAGCACTGGTGCATCATGCTGCAAACATGAGGTCCCACCCAGTCACATTATCATGACACCAGACCAACCAGTCCTAAGACTAACCTCTTAATGCTGATTGGCAAACGAAGCAGCTATTAGCTGGGGTTCTAAACCACGACCTCCTGCATCCGAGGCGGACGCTCTAACCACTAGGCCACCTGAGCAACACTGAATCTAAAGAAGAAATACTGAATTCGTATAAAATAATTTCGCCTGAGCCCAGTCCTCGCCATATTCGATTTATTTATCAAAACAACATCTTTACTTTGTCTTGGTTAGTGTCAACAAACTGCGTAATAAAAGCTTTATGTTTTACTTGAGCACTTAAAATGTATGTCACACAAGACTAATACATTTAAGTTATCTATATATTCCTTCCTATGTCAAACCATGGCTATTTTATAAGGAAATAAGAATAGGCGCATCTTATTTTGGCATCGATCTGATTCTTCAGGAATCACATTTTCCCGGAATCTTTACGTTATATGGCAATTACTCCTACCCTCCTCGCATGTGGAGGACGGGGTTTTTCCCGCAGACCATTTGCCTACTTCTATACACCGCCCACTCCTAAACGATATTCCATAACCCTCATTGTTGTGTCCACTCAGACGATAACAGGTATATTGTATTACTTATACACCATGGCAAAAATTCATTAATGTTTGTAAACGTCGTCATGATGCCATGTAAATCAATACATTCTTTCTGCTTATTCAAAACTGCAACGGTCAGAAAAGAGAGGTCTGTGCCCGAGAGTCAATGACCGAGCCTTGAACTCTACTTTCGTCGGTCGATCTACTTGAGAGCAGAAAATACTGAGCAGGTCAGTTACCTACCTAGAAAATCCTAAACTGGTACATGACGGGAATACACATCGAAATCATCTACACAGTTCACAAAGCGAAAAAAATACTAATTATATGCAAAGTAAACGCTTATAGTTTGTTTATACATGTTTCCAGTAAATAATTTTTACAATAGTCTATACTCCTTGTGATTTCGTTCAGTATACACAGCGGTCAATGAACTACCGTATCTCCCTGAATATGAACACTGTTTTATATGAAAATAAATAAAATGGCACAGAATGAAAACCGTATACACTCTGCACAAGTATTTTCAACCATTTCGAGCTCATTAGGCCATGCTTATTGATGTTTATCTGAGAATCAAGCAGTGTATTCCGAAGGTCAACCATCGCTCATGCCTTGCAGCTGATAAAACAAAGCCCAATCATGGAGAAATGAGAGAGAAATGAAAACAGCAACATCCCCCCCCAAAACAAACAACGAAAAGAATATGTGTGTGTGTGTGTGTGTGTGTGTGTGTGTGATTTGGATTTTTAACATAGCTTTAACAGTCAAATATATAGTTAGTAACTAGGGCACATCAATTTCCTTATCATTAAGTGTTTTTAATACTTTGTTGTCATGCAACAAAGAAGAGCATACAGTTTTAAATTCAATTAAAAGCTACGTTGAATACAGTTTGAGAGAGAGAGAGAGAGAGAGAGAGAGAGAGAGAGAGAGAGAGAGAGAGAGAGAGAGAGAGAGAGAGAGAGAGAGAGAGAGAGAGAGAGAGAGAGAGAGAGAGAGAGAGAGAGAGCGGCCAGAGATAACCATGCGAAGATCGGTGGTGATAGCTGGGAAAAACGAAACTTTCTTGAAAGGTACAAACCATAGCTCAAGACCGACCTAGATAGTGGAAGACAGTTATATCTTTATGTCCTACACGAGAGAAAGTGGACTAACTTATTTATTTATTTATTTATTTATTTATTTATTTATTTATTTATTTATTATATGGCCAACTGGAAACGTGTTGTATTGCACTTCATAACATTTTACTTCTTAACTTAATAGTACGGTATAAACCCGTGTATAAATCAGATGAAACTGCAAGCCGCATAAATCCAGGTATGGCGTCTCATTATACGTCTGCAGAACTACGTTTATGCAGTTAGTGGTAATAAGTAAAACCAAACAACATAGACCCTGATTGATCAGCGCATTCTAGGACAGCAGACCAGGGTCTATTCTGTTTTTATAATTGGACCTGGCTTGAAAACTAGTGCATAAATTAGCCACTTACAGTCTGAACTAGGAAAACAACATTTACGTGATTTCTTGTAGCTATATCCAAACTAAACAGCCAGGACTTCAATAACATCGGGATCATCAGTACCAAATAGAGCTTCGTTAAATTTCTCGTTTATACTAGAATAGCGAATCCTTCAACCAATGTTTTCATTTAGTCCATAAATGGTTTACTTTTTTGCCTTCGAATAATCAATGACATCTCTGGTGGCCTAGTGGTTACAATGTTCGTCTCAGATGCAATAGGTTGCTGGTTCGAACTCCGGTCGAGTCATACCAAAGAGTTATAAAAATGGTACTAGCATCTGCCTCGCTAGGCGCTTATTATTATTATTATTATTATTATTATTATTATTATTATTATTATTATTATTATTATTATTATTATTATTATTATTATTATTATTATTATTATTATTATTATGGACTAATGTAAATCAATTCGCACTTCATGTACACTCGAAATTTCCTATAATATAATCTATAAAGAATATCTTCATTATCATGAATTGTGCTATTCTTTCTCCGTGTTAACATTTAGGTTGTGGTGGGTTTTTGGATTATCGTTATCTAGAGGTTTATCGCCTCGTTGTTATTGCCCGGATCGGGTAAATATTAGTATAAAGTGGGAAACTTATAGATGGAATAAATAGAGATCTGAGCATATATATATATATATATATATATATATATATATATATATATATATATATATATATATATATATATATATATATATATATATATATATGATGTGTGTATGTATGTTTGTGTACGGTATGTAATAGCTCGGTTATTAACTGTTAATTAGGCATTTTTTCATACACAGCTGACAAGCTTTCTCTTGATCTCTTTAAGTTTTATTCTGTTTGTGATAAGTACACATATTTATGATAATTGTACTGGTTGCTCTATTTATGGACTCTAGAATAGCAGCCAAAAACAGAGAGAGAGAGAGAGAGAGAGAGAGAGAGAGAGAGAGAGAGAGAGAGAGAGAGAGAGAGAGAGAGAGAGAGAGAGAGAGAGAGAGAGAGAGAGATGTGTCCTCACACAAAATACAAGTCAGAGTGAAACTGGATATCTTTCCCAGATATAGAGGTCAAATATATCCGTTAGCGTTTTTTATATTTCTTTGTTCATTTTTCACTACGTGCTGGAAAACGTGAATTGTCATTCAATCACTAGAGCGATGCTATGACGTTTTCTTTTCTATCGGTCCTCTTTTCTTTCCATTCTTTGCTCAATAGAAGTATAAGAAAGGTCATAAAATATCCCCATGCATTTTTTGATCCAGTCCTGTTCACGTGACCATCTTGCCAGGCATTGTCATCTTGAGAGGACGCAGAAGCAAAGACTTGTGCAAGTTTGTTCGAATTTCAAAATCTTATCATTAACAAGTGATCATGTGACTGCTTGAACCAATACACCCACAACAGTGTCGTCAAGACTCATCAATGGCGGTGTGAGGATTTGCGGCGGAAGCGAGCAATGTTTTTTTTTTTTTGTTATTTTTTTATATATTGGCAACCCTGTTTCTCTGCAAATTTCAGATTTAAATGTCAGTTTCCCGTCTGTACCCCATTCAGATGGCACCAAAGGGCTATCGAAAGCTCTTCGAATCTCTATTTTCGCTAATGAGGGAGTACAAGGTTGCAATGATCCTGGAATTTTCTAAGTACGTGTCTATGTTCTCCGACACCTGAATATTTCTGTCAAAGATGCATGCACGAAATTTAACAAATTACTGTTTTTATTTTCAACCTACTTTTTTTGAGTAAAATTTCACTAGTGACATGAATCGTTTTTTGTTTTTTGTTTTTTGTTTGGATGAAAAACTTTTTTCAGGGCAAGATTGGCTATATGACGGTCAGTATAACTGATGGAGAAAGAACTAGGGACAATATAACGGTAAGAACAAAATAACGGCAGCTACTTCAGATACCCACATTGGTCGAGCCAGAGACTCGAACCCAGGCCGACTGAAGTGATATGGCCTTGATCGGTACAAGCAAATAATTTTGACCACTTGTCTACCCCTGGAATCGCAGCAACAGAAGTGCTTTTAAAATATTAAGTAATTTTTACAACAGAGTATCTAATGTGATATGAAAACGAATCTGCAATGTATAAATTCTAATTCAATTCTTTGACTTATTAGCTAGCCATGCAGTAATAGATGTACATATACTTTTCACACTTTAATTGATTTACTGAGACTTTTTCATACTGCAATGGATTCACGAACACTTCTTAATACTGCAATGGATTCAAGGACACTTTATCATACTGCAATGGATTCACGATCACTTTTTCATACTGCATTGGATTCAAGGACATTTTCTGATACTACAATGGATTCAAGATACTTTCTCATACTACAATGGATTCAAGATACTTTCTCATACTGCATTGGATTCAAAGACATTTTCTGATACTACAATGGATTCAAGATACTTTCTCATACTACAATGATTTCAAGATACTTTCTCATACTACAATGGATTCAAGATACTTTCTCATACTACAATGGATTCAAGATACTTTCTCATACTACAATGGATTCAAGATACTTTCTCATACTACAATGGATTCAAGATACTTTCTCACACTACAATGGATTCAAGATACTTTCTCATACTACAATGGATTCAAGATACTTTCTCATACTACAATGGATTCAAGATACTTTCTCATACTACAATGGATTCAAGATACTTTCTCATACTACAATGGATTCAAGATACTTTCTCATACTACAATGGATTCAAGATACTTTCTCATACTGCATTGGATTTTGCAAATACTGTTCTTACTCTAATGGACTTACAGAGACAATATTTAATTTTGTAATGCATTTCAGACAGATTTTCATACTGTAATGGATTTTTAGATACTTTTACATACTGTAATGTTTTCAAGCACCTTTGCATGCTGCTATGGATTTACAGGGATATTGCCATAGTGCGATGGATTTACTAAAGCTTGTTAATATACTTGGTTTACAGACACTTTACATACTGTAATGGATTTACAGGCACTTTTCATATTGCAATAGATTTATAGGT